AAAAAGTTGACAATTTTTTTCGGGATCATAATGTATCCTAATTGAATTGTGCAACATAAACTGTGCGCACTCCCAGCTTATTTTACCGCCCACTAGTGTTTATTTATGTAAGCTTGACGTATTTTCGATGTTAAGAGTGTGCGAAATTAACTATACCGGGCTCCTGAAATAACTCTAGTTTATAATTTTTCTTTCTAATCTTGTAAGTGATGAGAGATTTTGGATAGTGACGCTCACCTACATATTCCTAAAATTAAGCTGATAGATAGGACCCGTGCTACTGCTGATAACCACCAAACAATAGGTTCTTCCCTGTATATGCTAAAAGGAAGGCAGATTTAATAAGTAACGCAGCAGTACGCTTACCTAACCGTCTATACGTCTATGAACTCGCATCACTCAGGCTAGCGAGTGAACTTTTCAAAGTGCAGGCGAACAAAACGGTGTGGCCAAAGTACCTGCAGGTGGACAGGCTGGTTCGCCATAGGCATACTTAGACCTTTTACATTTTAGCTAATCGTATTTTAAGAAAATATTTTCCTTACAGGGCTGTGGTTCCTTGCCTAACGCCAGTGTACATCTATTTAAGTTTATATTGCATCAGTCTTTCTCTTATTGCCAATAGCACTAATTGGCCTAATACCTTTTATAAGGCCAAGCAATCTTACTTCATCTACGCCTTTGTTTGGTATTACTTGTCCAAAGAATCCTAACCGCACGTGAAAAAGGTTTCGTCCCTGTGTGCCTTGTGGTCCCTAAGCGAACGCCTTCCATTTCTATGACCTACGTTCCCAGTTCATATCCTAACCACTGCGGTTTAGTGGTTCGTATAACGCTATCTAAGCCTACTTGCAAAGTGCATGTGTAAAGAGGGAAACTGCTGTGCCCTGATCGGCGTCCGGTAAGCGTGCAATGTGCGCCGCTTGCTGCGGTCTCGCTGTGAAGAAAACACGTTCAGGCCTTATCTAACCACAAGTTGTCTTCCAATAGCTATTCAGCCACATTAAGAACATTTGTCTGACCATAGACGGGTGGCTAATAGGTTGCAGCCAGAGGTTTCTTTTGAATGACATAATTAACCTTTCGCTCACTCTGAGAGCTTATTCTCTAGAGCCATTTGGGGATTATTTGCTTAAATATGCCATTCAAAATATCTATTTTTTAGCTTTTGAGAGATAGAAGCACTGGTGTGTGTTTTTTTAACAAACATACTAAATTGAAACCCAGTAAAAAGACATTTGAAGAAGAATGATGCTTACTTCGCCCAGCAATTATATCCTCGATAGCAAGGACTGTATGTATGCCAGAAAGAGGTATATGCTCAATCTGAAATGAGATGTAGAGGGCATTGTGGATCTTCAGTTTGGAGAAGTTGTAAAGTACTTGCGTGTGAATAAGTGCTGCGGAAACAGTAGCATATAAAACTTTTACCCAGGCAACGGCCTATGAAGATAATCAAGTTCCAGAAAAGGTGTTTTCGACTTTTTAAAGCAGGCTCTAGAGATTAAGTCTTCTTCAAGATGTATTGTATACTATTTCCTTAAGAGATAGTAAAGAGTACATTAACATTTGTTTAATAATGCAATTTTTCTATAATAAGGCAAAAAATGTTCCCCATTGTCCTCTTTTGTCAGCGTGGAAAATAACTGGTATTCGAAATGAAAGCAGCTATAGTTTGAGCAAGTGGAATAAATCGGTTTACTTATCTCCGAAAATAAAGATTAGTGTCAATGGACATGTCTGACATACTATTAGGAACTTTTGCATTCCAGCTGAATCCGAAGGAAACCACTACAGTCGTGGTAGCAGTAGAAGGAGATGCACATTATTGAAATTTTAGTACGCATGATCTAAAACATATGTGTGTATAGATTGCGTTGAAGGGGGTTCGGTTCTTAAAAAATATCAAAGTTTGATCTTTTTATTGCATTTCCGTTATGGGGTTCATGTTGTTGAGTCTCACAATACCTACTGCAAAACAGTGAGCAGTGAAAAATGCACCAGATGCATTGCAATTGTAAACCCAGTGGTGCATCCAGGTAACATCCTCCTTTTTTAAGCTTTCCATCCGGTCTGCAAAAAAGATAGACTAGCCTAAAAAACGATGAAATGCACATGTAGAATGTAGGCTGTCTTAGAAATCCGTCCGTGTCGTGCGCTCTCTCCGTTTCACAAGAGCGGCCGATTATGGACAACAGATTTGGTCCTATCATGTACAGTTTCTACCTGGAACCATCCTTGAACTGCGTCCGCTGCTTTTAATTTTGTTTGTCATGATAAATACTTTTAGTAAAAAAAGTTCTTTCATACACACACACACTTTATTAACTGCTCCTTGCAGATAGAGTTTTCAATCTTTAGACATAACTGCTAACCTTTGCAACAAATATTTCTCCACAGTAGTCGTCGAAGATCACGCAACATGCCAATATATGCGAAAGATTGATACTCTTTCGCTAATCAGCATTGACTCAAGTGGTGATACTGATTATCGTGTAGTCTATTCTGAAGTTTATTCCGTCATGATAGGATGCGGGAAACTTTAACGGGCTTCGTTCTGACCACTAGCAAAACGTATCTATTGTAAAAACTGGCTACTTA